AGGTGGGCTGTATAAAAAAAAAAACCTGAATCAAATAGCTCTGTACATCGAGCATTTATGAAATTTTAATGAATATAGAAATTGCATGAGAATTCAGCTGAAAGTGTCCAATATGCTTTGATAAACTCCTGTTGCTATTACCATATGAAATGGACTGCAAAATTATCACCGTCGACAGCAACTGATGTCTCTAAAAGGGTATAAACATTTTCTTCATGAATTCAGTTTGCAGAAGATTATCCATTTTGGGGGTGAATGACTTCTAAAATATATCTGTGAGATTGTAGAGAGACAAATCTCAATTCTACAGCTGAAAATGGAGAAGCTTTAGGCACAATTCATTTCCCCAAGGTAACGTTGCTGAAAATTGGCAAATGGCTTGACAGAACTTAGATGGTTTAAATGTTTAAGATTTTTTAAACATGTTAGTTTTACTATTATCTTTGCACTAGTCAGATTCAAGAAGCTCATCTGAGGCCAGACATATAATTGCTGCAGAAGCTTAAAAGCGGTATCTTCTTTTGAAATGTATCGTCTGATTGGAGAGATTTTTTGATAAGCCTCTTACTGAGGATGAAAACTGCCTTTAAAAATATCTTTGCTTAATTCCCAAAAGAAAACTATATGCGTTTGCATCTCATCTAGCAAAACATTTCAAGCTATAATCCATTACAGGTGGATATGTGTGTTGACTTCTCACTCTGCTCTTCTTTATCTGTCTGTCTATCTATCTATCAATCATCTATCTCCATGCACGACAAAAACCTTTAAACTGTAAGGCTTTGTCAAGCTAACATTAAAATCCTAACAAAAAAATTATCTGAATTTCACTACATTTTAATTCTACTTCTGTATATTCTGCTTAGTGATAATAATGAGTGTTTGTTAATATAGATAAATGATACGCAATATCCAGTCGAATGGTTTTTTACATGCTGTGACTCATAGATATTTAAGTGACTCATAGATATATTCTATTTATTAATTTCAGAAACTGTTTTTGTGCATTGATGAACAATCATTAAAAGTTCAGCATTGCCTACGTGACTCCTAAAGCGAACCCTAATGCGCTCACTGATTGATTTACTCACATGCTAAATTATTTTTGATTATTTTTTAAGATGCATAATTTGGTTGCACAATTCACCCCCTTCCTAATGCCTTTGCTTGGAGCTGTCTGTCTGAGAAATGATGCACCCTTTGATTAAGGCTGCTGAGATGTTTGTCATCGCATCACAGCATGACGATCGCCAGGACCCTCACAGTGAAAGATAAGTAACAAGATACTTGGAAAAAGAAGCGAGAATCATGCGAGAAGAGAAAAAGAATGGAGCTGTCAGGGGGAGAAAGAGGTGTGATCTGATCCCTCACTCCTTCTGGCTGAGTTTGGAAAGAGAGCGAGATGGCGGGTGAGTTGTTTGACTAATGCTCTGTTAGCTAATGTGTCCAGACCACCCACTGAGCAGCACCCGTCTGTCTGGCTCTGATGTTGTCTTGTAGTAGTGATCTGTGCTCAGTTGCATGAGCCCAGCACCCTCAGCCCCTATTCTGGGGAGGCGCGTACGATACTCCCACTGCTAACAGCAAGCTGGTGGGAGTCTGCTCAGGCTTTCATGATAATGTATGCATTTTTCTGCTGCTTTACACAGCCAGATGCAAGTAATTGCTTTTTCATTCGCGTGAGAGTTTGGGGGGAAAGCAGATATTTTTTGCAAGGTTGCCACAAATGTTCTGAACAAACTGGAAGTTAGGACCACAGATAAGCTCTGATGTAATATGATGCAAACTGTAAATTGTGTTCACAAATGATGTTGTTGTATCTGCAGAGATTAGAATAGTAATGTCTTGTTTAGTGACAGTGCCACAAGAAAACCAACCGGCAACATGAAAGTGAAATGGTTCACTATCAAACATTAAGATGCACAGTTCTCTTCTGCAACCCCTGCTAAAACCTTGCTGCCTACTACCTAGGTGGCTTCCTTCTAATGCAGCATTCTAACTAAAATAAAACCTGATAAAATCCCTTCACATAGCTCTCCTACTTTTGAAATTTCATCAAAATTTCAAAGACAAAAAAAAGGTCTACTGTCAATATAGCGATGCATGCAGCACTGCTCACACAGAAGTCACTTTCTAAGCAAGCAGCTTTCTGTTGACCAAGTTGAACACAAGCGAAATCTGTGCGGGAAAATTTTTCACCCTTACATGAAACTCCCTACACAGATTCCTATTGACATAATTGGATTTCACACAGGAGATTTCACCAAGCAACAGTAAATGTGACAGCACCTTTATATACTGTACCTTTAAGCATAATCAACATTTCTTTCATTTTGTTTCGGTTGGAATTTTGTTCCGTTTTTGGGTAGATTTTTTCACATAGCTTGCAGTGCATTGTGGGATTCCCTTCTTCGTGAAGAATACATATATATACACATATGCTACACATAGTTCCTCATATGATGCATCATATATATTCTTTGCTGAGATGCCAATTCTGTGGAGTCCCGGACATGACATGTGGTAAAAAAATATATAATTATATGGCCACAATTCGTTCCCACGACTTACTAATTCATCACTTCATTTTAAGTAAATCATGAGCATGATTTACTAATTTGATACCTCATTTTAAGTAAATTGTGAGCATAATTGAGTTTATGAAATTGCGGATAGGAGTTCGCAGGAGTAAAACTTACTCACAATTTCACTAAAATGAGGTAACGAATTAGTAAATCGTGCTGACATATTAGTAAGTCGTGGAAACAAATTGTTAATTTGTGGCCACGATAAAAATATTTTTTCCCACATGTCATGTCTGGGGCTCCGCACACTAACATAATGCATTACGACAAGTTTAGAGAAAAAATTCATCCAAGATGGCAGACAAAGCGATAGAAATGTCTATTGTAAATATACTTCGTTATAGTATAGTACGAGTAGTATGGTGTTCCGAATGCATGATACCTTAAACTGCTCACCAGTTACGATCTTACTTTGCTTGCAACACACACATACAGAAGAACAAAATGAGAGGTTGTCAAGACTGTCAAGATTTTTCTCCAAAAATATATCAACACAGACGTTAACGGCAATGATTATAATACTTCAGCTAATCATTTTTGAGGTCTAAATCGCCATCCTTGAGATGAGGTTTTCAGATTGACACTTATTCATTTGGACCGTGTTCAACAAAACACCGTCCCTGCATTTATTTTTATTGATGTCGAGCAGGAAGCGGCATACGGTTGCTGGCAGCCACCCTGAATTATGAGGGAGATGATTACAGCCCCTCTCTCGCTCTCTTCATAGCCAAAGATCAGTGAGACAGAGAAAGACAGCTCTTGTAATCACTCTTAATAGTCTTGTTGTTTGTGTGAGTGTGCGTGGTAATGATGCTGGCACTTCAGCATGGGCTCACAGGGGACCCACTATTGTTTCATCGTCTCACTGCCTTTCAAATGGCACCACAACAGGTGCCTCTGTGAGGTTTCTAGTCAGTTAATGCATCAAATTAAGGCTATGGTATTTTTTTAGCTTTCTGTATCATTGCTTAATCACACCGATGGATCTAATGACCGTGAATTGATCTAAAGTGGACCAATCACTACAGCTTTCTCGGGATTCCATGTTTATGGCCTTGTCTCCATGTTATGATCCCCATAAAGTTTCTCATGATGGCTCAAAGTGCTGTTTGCTAAATTAATGATGTGAACCCTCTTGTTCTTTCGGCATCAATGTCTTGTTGTTTTATATACTTCTTCGTTTCATTGTGTGACCTGAACAAGATTGAGTGTCAAACCTAAAGCGCATTTGAGTGATGTTAGCATAGTGCTGCGTTGATGTTAAGCCAATTCAGCGTGCCAAACAAATCAAACCTAAAACGCAGAGGGTATATGACACGCGAAATTCATACTCAATAGAATTAGAGTGATTCATTCTCCTAGAAAAATGATTCACCCTTTTATTTTTGGAGCGAAGCAATGATGATGTCCAAAGAAATTAATGTTTCCTATCACTGAATGCAATAAACTATTTTTATGTGTGATTATATGTGACATCTTCCTGCCCTTTTGACCTCAACCATCTCTTCTAGAAGAGTAATGGAGTTCTAAAAGGTTCAGGTGGCGCGAGTTCATCTAATTCTGTCAATCATGATGCAAGTGTATATAAACAGCTGCTTACCTCAATAGCATGGTGATTCGTCTGGAATCTCAACTACACTGATTTCCATTTATTTAACTATCTTCATTAATAAGTAGTCCAAGAGAACATGCCAAGTCTGTCTACCTACATTATATTCAAAGATTATATGAACAGGTTAACGTGAAACAGTTTGAGGAGGAATCATTGGTTGATAGAACTTATTTAAAGAGATAGTTCACACATCATTTACGCACCCTTGTGTCATTTCAAACCTGTATGAGATTCTTTCCTTTGTAGAACTCAAAAGAAGATATTTTGAAGAATGCTAACTTTCATTGTATGAAAAAAAAAATCTGAATATCTTCTGTGTTCTATTTAAGAAAAAAAAAAGTCATACAGGTTTGGGAACAACATGAGGTGCTTAACTGCTTAAATCCAAAGAATACTTAATGACACACTGTAATGTAAAACAAATGGATAGGTGCCAGATTACAAAGCATTTGTGAAGTGTTTTAGTGCAGCATATTCTTAATTTCTAAGCAGTGTCATTAGTTTCCATCACTCTTCTAGTTTAAAATCCATATGTTAATTGTATATTCAGCACATTTATCCATGGCCATTCAGAACCCACCTTCAATTGCTTTACAACCGGTCATCAATTACATGTCAAGAGCACCTCTGGCAATCTGTAATCATATTGATTCACATACCATGAAGTAGCACCATAATAACCACTATGTGATGAAGAACCGAGCTGGTGCATTTATTACCATATACATAAGAATTTAGCATGGAAAGTGAAAGATCTAGCATGCAGGTCTTCACCTGTTACTGATGCGCTCTGACAGACTCACCTCTGCAAAGCATGAAAAATATGAGCCCAGCTGGGCTGAGGCGCAGCATCTTCAGTTCCTCTGAAGTTGGTCGGGGATGAAGAAGGGAACGGGTCGGTGTTTTTCCACCGACAAGTCTTCCTTAAGGTCTACAGGACGATAAACGCAGCCTTCGTCCCTTCATAAGCAAAAAAACAGGGTAGCGGTTAGATGTTTCCCCCTCCAAGCATCTCAAAATGAGTCTCTCCCTCGGTGCAGTTACTAAACGTTGTCATCTTGACAGTCACGGTCTGTTTCGTGAGTTTTATATGTCTTCTGAAGTGTCTGACAAGCACCTCAAACATTAAAAATATAGAAGTGCCATCCCATAAAAAGTCACAGATTTGTAGTTCCGCGCCACAAGTGTTTGTTGTTAAAAGCAGTCTGGTGGTCGTGGATGTGTGATCCGTCTAAATAAGCCTCAGTTCGCACAGCTGTGTGGAGAATCTCAGAGGAAAGTTGAGCATCGCTTGTGAGGCTCGGCAACGCTTCATAATGATGTCAAATCCACTGTAATTCCAGAAGGCGCGAGGGGTTACAAATAAAGTGACGTTTAATAGACAATATCTGTGATTAAGAAACAATTAGGAGCGTTTATGTAAATAAGTCCTCACTTAGGGAAAAAAAGACGATTAAAACGGCAATATATACCCCGGGCTTCCACGGTTATTAATACACTTTAAGAAATGAAACTGTAGTCCATCCGTCTGTGTGTATCACCCGTCACAGTTTTGACGCCGAAAAGCAAGCCATAAACTTCAACAATGTGAGGAAAGAAGTAACAAAAATCATTTGTACTATGAAAATGCTCCTTTCTCTCATCCATGAAGTCCACAGTGAATATCCCTCATGCTTTCGTCTGCTCTTTGGGTTCCGCAGCGACAAGCACAGTGAGTCATGATACTGACTCTCACTCTCTCTCTCTCTCTCTCTCTCTCTTCCAAATGCTGCTAAACTGGGAGGGCGGTGTACGAATTTTCTATTTCAACTTTAAAATACTGTATTCGCATGATTGTTTTACATGCAATATTGCTAAAGCATCAATATACACAAGTGGCAGAAAAATCTAAATAGCAAAAAAATATAGCAACGATATAGCCTACAATAAAATAAGATGCAAGAACCCACTCCATTAGAATTTATATGAATAGTTTGCTACCTATGTGTACTTGTTAATGCATGCACCGCAAACAAGGATTTGTGCTTGTAAAACATGTTCACCTGTTGTAAATGTGTTTATTGGCCATCGGCAGTAGATTAATCGATCAATATGTCTAAAACCTGCGGAACGAAGGTGCATTGATGATAAGATGGAAGGTATTATAAGTATATGTTATAAATGGTTCTATCCCATTGTAGTGGGTTATTATGGTTACATTATAATAAGAGTGATTATGCAGGTTTTAATGTAGTTATTGGGTGATTGGACCTTGTACTGCATTTACCTCAACAAGCGCGACAGTGCCCTCTAGTGGTATAAATCATGTCCTTGAGATTTTCCCATGCCATTGATGGCATGCTGGTATAAAGAGTGCTGCAAACGGCACAAGATTTAGCCTAATGTAGAATAACGTGCTAATAGGGATGTAAATGGAATATTTGCAAGGTCGGTGAACACTGAAAAAATCATCCATTACATAGCCTATAGATACTCAACATACAGATTCACACCCACATTACCTCAATCATTAGGCTTACTTGTTTTTTAGGTGCCAATAGTGAAAACGCCGCATAGATCCGCTGTGGTTTTGCATAGGCTATAGGCTAACAAAATTAATAGTGTCTTCGTCACTCAACTCGTTTCTCATCGCTGTTCGAGATTTTGAATAATGTTTCCCCTAGGGAAAGACTGAGAGGATGGAAACAAAACAGCTTGCAGATGTGTCTGTACAAAGCTCATGATTATTTAATGAGGTAAACATTGGGCATATTGTGATTGGTTGGTTGTCCTTTGCTAAAGAACTCACTTTGCCTACTACAAAATGCGTTAAGATGGCATTGAAAACATTTTTTAAAAATATTGTTTGTAAAGATGTATCTAGATAGGCTATTCCAACGTAAAACTTCAAGAATTGCCATTGACTTTCTTATACATTTCTGGAACCTGTTTCTATTCTAAAATTCACTGTGTTCATGAAATACAAATAGATTAGAGGATGGAAACCAAACAGTATAAAAGTTTCTCCGTTTGTATAAAGCTCACGAATGTTAAATGAGGTAAACATTGAAGCAGTTTGTGATTAGTTGTGTTTTGATAAAGAACTGGCTGTAACATTCCCGAGCACTAAACGTGTTAAAATGTCATTAAACATTTTATTAAATATTTGTTTGCAAAGAAGGTATCCAAATATTGCAAACATAAAATTGCCACAGATTTTCTTATACATTTTTGGCACCCTGCAGTTCCTATCCTAAAATTCACTTTTGATGAATATTCAAACCAGTTACAGATAAAATGTGTTGAAATCATTCTCATCTTGGAACCGAGCAGTTCATCAAACACAGTTTTCTTCCTACAGGTTGGAGGCTTAATGCGGCCCACTGTGGGGGTCTGGCTTTAACCTTGTACTTACTCACTCCATGCTGAATAGAGATATTGACAGCAAGACTATAGCTGATGACTCCCCTACTGCTCAAATCAGCAATTACTGTCAGTTCACAGAGGGAAGATGAGTGTTGATTTGGGAAGAAAGAGGCATTTAAGAAGACCCACATGCACAGGCATCCAGTTAGCAAACACATTAATGGCTTTGCCAAATTCTGGGCAGGGTATTGAAAGTTTTCCAACCACGCTCACAAAGAGGCTTTTGTAATTAGCTGCAGAGAGACGCCTGTAATAAACAGTGAAGTAGATAACACACCAAACCACTACCACTAAAAGAATGTTTTGATAGAGTACTATTGCAAAGAAATTAAGTGAATATTGACCCCACTCACACTCTCTCCATTTGCACTCAATGCCCTATCTTACCTGTCATTTCAGTGTATTCACCAGGTTGATTGCCGTGACCCATCTCTTGCTGCTAATGTCAGGTGATTAACATTTATCAGTCTCTGGGCAAGACCTTTCTCCTGAGGAGACGTTTCAACGGCCTGCTCTTTTCTAGCATCTTCTGACAACGTTTCTCTCATTACCGGTTTCAGCATATTGGCAAAGTACATGTCAGTGATGGTTTAGCCTGTGATACCTGCTGTAATTTATTATTCAAATAGACAGCTGAATGTTTCCTTTCTGCTCTAATAGGAGCTTCACACAGCTCATGCAGTTTATGGGAGCAGTTTCTGAGATGCTATGAAAACACATTTGGTGCTGCTTACGTTATTCATACATGTTCCTGTTTTTTGCGAGTGATATGTTTGTACATGGTATTTAAAAGTCAGTTATTAATGCATAAATTCAAGTCACATCGTACTTTTTTCTTTATTCTTTTTTTCTAGTTGAATATTGTTAAATAACCATTCAATAGTTGGGGGTTGGTAAGATTTTTTAAAGGTGCTGTATGTAAGTTTTTGACTCTACTAAAGCATAAAAATATAATAATATGTTTGCAGATATTTAGGAAACATGCTAAGTTAACATACTTGTTTATCTGAAAAACAATGCTACAGTCAGTTATTCTCCTTTGAAAATGTGAGTTCCGGGACGGAAATTCTCTTTGTTTTGGTCTGTGTAACCCGCCCACTGCCAGTTTACCCAGTTGTATTTCGGCACCCCGGGTTGCCAGTTGGGGTGAATGTTGCCAGATGAATTTCATTCATCGTCATGTGCACTTGTTCCTGTTGGTGTCGTCAATCTGGCAACCTGTGTGTGCCTCAAGTCTGAGGAGGAGGGGCCGGGTGAAAAGTTGAAATTGGACTGCAATATCAATGTCAATCCTACATACAGCACCTTTAATGTGTTTGAAGCAAGTTCCCTTCCGAGGGAACTTCGAACTGCGTCCTCTAGAGGTCGCTATGGGGAACGCCTTCAGAGTGAAGAGCGTTGTAGAGACACTGGCTTTCTATCTCTCTATGGGGGAGACATCTTCTCTTAAGGCTCCCTCCCGGCCATCCAAACCCCTTCAGGATACATCTCGTTTGAATGGCAGGGCATACGCGGTAGCAGGTCAGGCTGCAGCCTCGTTGCATACCATGGTGGTGCTTCAGGCTTATCAGGCTGATCTGCTGAAAGACCTGGATAAAAGTCAGGGTCTATCCCCTGATGAGGTGGCTGAGTTGCGTCGCACCACAGATCTTGCTCTCCGTGCCCCTAAGCAGGCACCATTGGCAGATCCATGGCGGCCATGGTGGTTACGGAGAGGCATCTGTGGGTGAATCTGGTGGACATCGGGTCGAACGAGAAGGGCTTTCTACTTGATGCGCCAGTTTTCCCTTCTGAGCTTTTTGGCACTTCCGTCGAGACGATGGTCGAGAAGTTTAAGGAGGCCAAGACGTGCTCGGCTGCCTTTAAATCCTTCATTCCACAAAGTTCCAGGTCTGAGCCCGAACAACAAAGGGGTCCTGGCCCATCTCGATCTAAGGATCAAAGGCGGGCTCAGAAGACTAGTGTCGCGACTCGCGCCCCTTCCCCGCCCTTCCCCGCTTCCCTAGGGCTCAAAAGGGGCGTGGGTCAAAGGGTAAAAGGCAAGATCTGAGGGAGGTGATCCAGATTAAGTGTTCTCAACACTCTCGTCTGGACCAGAGTAAAACCTGAGCCATCTACTCACCTCCCTCTGAGAGTATTTACATCTGCTCTCATCTTCCTCCCCTTTATTCCCCTAAAAAGCTACCCTCCTAACTGAGATTAGGTAGGAGCCTCATCCGCTTGCATTGCAGTCTCTTATGCTGGACCTATGATGTTTTGGCTAGTTTCTATGTCTCATAGAATGATGGTCCAGACCCCAGTGCTCTTCGGACTTCACCTCCAGCCTATATCCATGAGCCTGAGTCATGCGCGGGAGCCACGGTTGGTGAGTACAATCCATTTCATCTACTCTACTGCTAGTTTTTGTGTATTCACTACTAGCCTTTCTCTGCAGCTCTACTCGGACCTGTTCTGTTTTCTGACTTCTTTAGGTTTGACCCCCCCTGCTAAGTCAGAACCTCCTGCTGGTGACCGATTATAGTGATGGTTTCACTCATCGGTACTGGAACCAGGCTGGTGATAGCCCTCATCTTCGGTTGGGCACGCAGCCTGGGCTTCTGCGGAAGCCTCCCAGCATCAGGTCCCCATTAGCCTTTCTCTGCAGCTCTACTCGGACCTGTTCTGTTTTCTGACTTCTTTAGGTTTGACCCTCCCTGCTAAGTCAGAACCTCCTGCTGGTGACCGATTATAGTGATGGTTTCACTCATCGGTACTGGAACCAGGCTGGTGATAGCCCTCATCTTCGGTTGGGCACGCAGCCTGGGCTTCTGCGGCAGGCTCCCAGCATCAGGTCCCCAGTATAATGTTGCAACCTCAGGACCTGCGGGTCTTTCTCACGTGCTGAGTACTCTTCAGAGTATATGCTTCATGACGTGCTCCCTATCCCCTGGCCAGGGTGCGCTACGTCTCTCACCCTGAGGGGTCTCCTGAGATTTGAGTCTTTCCTTTAACCATCATGCACATTCTCTGAGCTAGAGCTCCACTCG